AAAACTTTAAAAACAAAGGTTTAGAATGGAAAAATTGCTTATCATTTTCTTCAGATAATGCTAGTAATATGATTGGAAAGTTTAAAGGTGTAGCATCATTTATCAAAATGCATCAACCAAGTATAATCACCCGAGGTTGTCCGTGCCACCTCTTGCATATAGCTGCAAAAAAAGCTACTGAAAAATTAATTGGCTCAGAAATTGAAATGTTGATAATAGATATATATTTTTACTTGGAGAAAAGTTCGAAACGGAAGCATAGCTTCAAAGTTGCTCAACAAATTTTGGGACAGAATGCAAAATCTCATAAAATTTTGAAATATTGCAGTACGAGATGGTTGTCTCTTTTAGAATCTATAACAAGGATTTTGGAACAGTGGGATGCTGTGATAAATTTTTTTGGAGATAAACCAGATAACAGTGAGAATGAAGGAAAGAGATTGCAAAACATTAAAAAAATTTTACAGTCACCGACCACCAAATTGTACTTGTTATTTTTGAAAAATACTTTGCCTTTGTTTATAACAGTAAATATTAATTTGCAACAACAAGCTCCTTATATACATAAATTGAGAAGAGAACTTTTTGAACTTTTAATGAATTTATTTGTTAGATTCGTAAAACCATCAGTAATTTCTAAAGAAAATGAAGATGTTACTCTAACGTCTATTCCATTTCAGAAGTATAGTAAACAAAAAGAAAATGAAAATTTAGTGATTGGTGCGGAAACAAGACTATATTTAAAAAATGCCAAGTTGAATGAAAGTGAAGTGAAATCATTTTTCAATTCTGTGCGAGCTTTTTTTTGTAACTGCATGTTCATATATAATTGATAAATTTCCACTGAGTGATCCATTTCTAAAACATGCTGAAGTTGCTGACATCAACTTGAGGACTGAAGTTTCATTTTCAACTGTTCTTTACTTGATGAATAAATACTTTTCCATCCATTATTGATGAAAAATATATTACTCAAGTAGAAATTGAATTTTCCATGTATCAAGTAGATGATTTGAAAGAAATTGTAGATTTGCGTATTGATATAGCATGGGGAGAAATTGCCAAATTAAAAAATATGAATGGGTGTATTAAATACAAAGTATTGCCTTCTGTAATGCTTGCTGTCTTAATAATACCTCATTCAAATGCAGCTTGCGAAAGAATTTTTTCTATTGTTAAAAAAAATCAGACGGAATTTCGACCAAATTTAGGTCTTAAAACTCTTGAAGCAGTTTTGATTGAAAAAATAAATATGCAGGCAAATGAAGAACTGTGTTATAAAAAAACATTCTCAAAATCAGAACTTAAGCTTGCTAAGCATGCTACATATAAATCTTTGCATTCATAAATTATGCGTATTTTGTTTAATACTTATATGTATCATTCTTGGTTATTTAAATTTTATTTCCCTGTAGAAATCATATCCAGAATAAAGATATGATTTATAGCTTCTGATTTTTTCTATGATTAGTAGTGATTGATTTGAAGTACTTTTTATTAGTGAATGCTTGAGGAGTTAAAAGAAAATTTCTAATTAAATGTGCATATAATTTACAAGGTATATTTTTAATTATTCAGTTTTATATGTATATGGATTTTAAATGTAATAAAATTGATTACAATTAATTATTAATTTAAAATTAATGAATGGTTAATTACAACATACGCTACGCGCACATTTTCAAAGTTGTAAAAATGTCGTTCGCGCGCGCGTTGACTACTGACAAGGTTTGCTGAAGGTTGGAGTCTATGGAAGTAAAGTTCAATCGTACCATTCCCCATGTGTACACAAATCTAGTATCTCCCTTGTGTTCTGCATATTATAAAACAAATCCTTTTTTTTAAAATGAATTGTCATGTTGACCTGGTTCAAAATAAAAGCATGGATTTCAACTTTCATTCATTACCCAATTTTCCTGACCCATCATTTTCATGTTTCACATAATTAGATGACAAATTGAAAACTTTTTTGATGTCATGTAAAAATCTTTTTTTGTAAGTAAATGAACCCTCTCAAGCCCATCATCTGATATGGAATTTCTAATTTCATCTAAAATATTATCCAGAGAAATTTTTTGCTGTATCTTTAAGGCAATATTTTTTCTTTCATATGTTGTTAAATATAAGTGACCTAAATAATTCTGATGCCCAATACATATTTTATGATATGACACTAAATATTTGCCATCTGTATGTTCTGTTACTTTTAATGCAGCTGGGCAATATGTATTTATTTTATTGCTACCAAGGATTTTTAAGTGGCACAAACCTTTACTTTCTGATATAAAATTTCCTGAACAGTGACATCTGAAATTATAATATTTTACAGTATTATTATTTTCAATTTCTTCCTTTCATGACAACAAATCATTAAATGAATTAAATTCTAGCTCAGTTTGATTCATATCAACATCATGAACATTCTTGAAAGGAAATATTATTTCTCGCTTTTCGAAATTAGCATAACATACAGGACACACATTATTACCTGTTTGGTTGTCTTAGAAGTATGAATTTTATTTTGATGATATTTCAAATTTTTAAGGTGAAAAGAAATCAATTAAATATTATTAGAATGTAATTTATTTGCATGGCATTTCAAATTGTATTTATTTTTTAAAGTGTTTAAGCAATCAGGATATACAAAATTACTCAGCCACACTAAAATCATTTGCACAATCAGCCATATTATTAGAACTTCCCATCATGATACACAACTTTGATTTTTCAAAGACGTATTATGATAATGACGTATTATTTTCAAATGTAGTATTATTATAAGGAAATTTATATACATGGGGTTTCAAATTGTATTTATATCTGAAAGTTTTTAAACAATTGGGGCAAACAAAATCGCTCTCACCTACACTAAAATCGTTTGCACAGTCAACCATTTCACGCACAACAGAATCTAAACTATCATCACGTGTACCAGAACTGAAATTATCGCACACGGTTACTCTTTCCCGATTTTGATTCGATTCAGGATGAAAATTCCTTCTGAGGAAACAGAAGTATTTGTCCCTGAAAAGGGCTGTTTTTCTTGACTTTGTGCTGAAGACATAATAATCAAAACAAAATATAAAAGAGAACTGTATCGGCAATCGCACGCTACCACAGCAGTGCAGAGAGCAGAGTAAATAACAGAGTAAGCGAAAAGGAATAGGAAAATGATGGCATGCACAGTAATCTGCGCAGATGTTCAGGGAGGAAACTAGAATCTGAGGGGCTAGACGCTTGTATCCATTGATCATGATCTACCTGCAGTCACAGCATGCTTTTCATCTGTTTATATTATTATTTTGTTAATATTTTCCTTGCACATTCATGAACGCATGAAAAAAGTAACTTACGTTCATAAAAAAGTTAAATATTCCAGTATTTTTCTGTTAAAGCCATACCACATATTATTTTCAGAGCCATATTGGTTACATCTTCACTTATTTCTCTCCCCGAGAAAGAACAGAATGATCAGGAATAGCAGCAAGGGAACATTTTGTGATTTTGCAAAATCATCCATATACCCATTGTGGAGTAAGAATGCAACCTACATTATTTTTTTTTAGCTGTAACAAAAGTAATGCATGATCCTGCAAACCACATTTGTGTTTTGTTGTTTTTTTTTTAATTCCCCACAGAAATTAAAGGTACATAGCCATTTTGCGAAGGAAGTATGCCGGCACAAAAAAGTGCCAAGTGTTATGGCTTTAATGGAACAGTATTCGTGTTCCTTTTATGTACACTGCGCAAAAAAAAAAAAAAAAAAAAAAAAAGAGAAAAAAATGGAACATTGTATTTCATCTACTACTGCGTCGATTGACAAAATTCAAATTGTGTTTTTCATGTCTCAGAAGCACGACTTAGGATATATAATAGATTTATAGCATTGTTCTAATATAGGTATTTTGACCCAAAATCTGACTTTTTCTGAAATGACGTGCCAAAATTTTTTCCATATTGATTCTATGACTCAAGTTATGCCAAACTGCCAAGTTTTGTAAAGATCGCACGAGTAGTTTTTAAAACAATAGCTCTCAAAATTTTAGCTTCTCGGTGTTAACTGAATTTGGTGTGTATTTATTAATCTCTCTTTTTTTTATTAAACTTATTTGGTTCTTCCTTTCACATTTCAAAATTTAGGTCCACTACAAATTAAATTTGCCAATTTTTTGTGATGTATTTTTAAATAATTTTTTATAAATTTTTTGAAAATTTTGATTGTAACCTATAATTTTTCCCATCATCTTGAAGTAGATGTATTTCTAAGCATACCTGCAAAAAAAAAAAAAAAAAAAAAAAAAAAAACTTTTTATGCAAAATTTCCGAAGCTATACGTGTATATTAGCACTTTTGAAAATTGGCATATTTGTTCAAATCGATAATAACACCAAATGGGGTTTACGCCTTTGTTAAAATTATTTGGAAGTAGGAATGATGTGACTTCCCTCTCTCATGCAAAATGTAAAAAGAGAAAGGAAAATAGGTTGCCATAAATTAAGAAGTTCACCAAGTGAACTATTCTTGGTGCAAACTGAAAGAATTATGCCGAGCTAAAATTTTGAATTTCTCAGTAATTTTCACATGAAATTTTACAGAATGTAATATTTAGGCATAATTTGAGTCATAGAATCAAAATATGGAAAAAATTGGCATGTTATTTTAGAAAAAGTCAGATTTTGTGTCAAAATACCTATATTAGAATAAAGCTGTATATAAATGAAATATATATTCTATATGAAAACGCAATTTGAATTTCGTCAATCGGCCCAGTAGAGCGGGAGATATAGAACTGTCCCCTTTTTTTCTTTGTGCAGTGTACATAAGAATAAAATTATGTATGCTTGCTTATCTTGTTTTTCACTAATTATTAAATAAATTAGTGGTCAGAAATAAGTGTATTTTTCTTCATTTATCTGTAACCTCCCCCCCCTCCCCAGATCCTTTGTATTAGTCGTTCATTTTTCACTGTGCATAAATAAAGTGAATTATTCAATTTATAGGGCCAGAAAGAGGCACATGAAAAGTTTATAGCCATTAATAAGGCATATGAAGTATTAAAAGATGAAGATTTAAGAAAAAAGTATGACTTATATGGTGAGGAAGGCTTAAAACAGGATTTTGGAAAGTCATGGAAAGGAAATTATCATAGCTGGAATTATTACTATGAAAGTTTTGGTATGTTTTATTTTCACTCAAATGAAATACCATTTAATTTTTTTAACCATGTTTTTTATCTTGAAATAAAAAATTAAAAAAAAATCTTCTAATGGCTGGCTGTTATTCTTGTTTGTCTAATAACTAATGTTAATTTATCTATGTTAATTTATCTACTAATGTTAACGGCGCGGCTCGCAATTAACTGGAAGTTGATCTGTCAGCACTATCATTATCTTCAGAGCAGATGTTTTTATTTTATTCAGCTTATAATTCCTTACTAAATGTAGTATTTCATCTCGATGCTAGTCCGTCTTTAATATGATTTAAATCAATATCCTCGTCATTATAAATATCACGAATACACATCAAATAGTGTTTCTGGTACATTTTTCTAATTTCGACTATGTGTAATGTATTCTTTACGCATGTGCATGTTGAAAGAAATGCTTAATAAAGTAAACAAATAAGTATTAAGCTTTTTTTTTTGTAAATTTTGATACCCTTTAGATCATAATTGCTCTTTATTTCATAAATTATGGTTTCGTATTTTTAATTTTATAATTTCTGCATGCCATCTTACCAGATTTAAACTGATGATCTATAATTCGGAAAAACCGATAATCCGGAATCGCCGAAGTCCCGACGAGTCTGGATTGAAGACTTTTGACTGTATTTATTATTTACCTTTTGGTTTTTATTCACAAAGAAATATGTGGCTAAAATCATGGTACTCGTAAAAAAGTGCCATATTTCCCATCTAGGCTGCTCTTATCTTGGCTGATGTCATTAATAACTATCCAGTAATGCAGCTCAATGATAGCACCCTTTAGTTAATTTCCAGTCTTTAAAGTGAGTTTTTCCTCTTATAAGCCTTGCTATTGAGTAATCAAGATTAAAACCTGCATCTAAATTTATAATAGTTGGTGTATTCATCTTGCCTCTTACCTTGTTTACTGTCCTTATTCTGTATGTAATCTACAAAATATGCTTCAAATAGAAAGAAATTTTAGTAGTCCATATAATCCTGTCTGCTTGTCCAATAGAAAAATTGTTTCACCAAAATTTTGCTGTATCAAAATCCATTTAGAAAGCTAAGAGGGTTCAAACTATCACTTGTTGATATAACAGTTATTAAGAGAATAACATTTAAAATTATCATGTACTTAATAATTTATCATTAAATCAGGAACTGCATTAAGTTTCAGGCATGATATATATTGCAAAATACTTTAATTTTTGTTTAAATGGTAGGGGGCTGAGAGTCCTCAGAGCTTTGGATTTATCAAAACACAAAGCAAAATTAATTAGATTAAGCTAAAAAATTAAACACAGACTCATTTTTTTTAAAAAAAAGGCAATTATTTTTTTAATAGAGAATCCAATTAAATATACTTTAATTTTGTACATAAAGAAGATAACTATAAAAACTATATAACTATTATTTTAGAAATAATCAAACAGCTATTTACAATAATTTGCTGTAAAATTGTAAGATATTCTAATTTATTCCCATTTCCTGAAATTGTATAGTCATTGCTTCATAATCAGTTGCATAATCTTATCGTTCTAAATTTATTCTTTCCATACCCATTGCATGGCTTTATTTAGAATTAGAAATTCTGATATAACAAAAAAGGACTATTTTTAATCCAATAAATAAATGAAATACAAGTGAAGAATTCCAGTATTTTCTTAATGACAAGATCACAGTCACAAACATAAGTGCTGGCATAAAGTGTAGAATGAAATAGTAATGACAACCTTAACCACTTGTGCTACAACTAAACTTCACGGTTCTGGTGCCGTGCACTACAATATAACAAGTGGTAAAGTGTCTTATTTACGCCGCTCCGCGTCTGCGAGTGTCCAGAGCTGTAACTCGAGAAATAAACAATCTCGTTGTTAGGCGACGTGTGCACCACGTTATTTTCATTCTTGCGATAAATGCCTATCGACTAGGTATTCACATCGCTTGCGCTTTGAGACAAAAGCGTCTCGACGTGCTTGGCACGTCTGTTTAGCACAAGTGGTTAAGGTTTCCTCTAATGGTAGACTCTTCATTATTTGGAAATTTGTAAATTGTAAAATCTCAGTTTCTTGATCAAAATATACTGTAAGAAAACATGTTTGGATCAAAACATGCTCATGGTGTGAGGGTGCTAGTTTTAACATGATTGGCCTAACTAATGTCTTAATTATGATTATGTGTCTTAATTATGATTGGCCTGTTAATGAAAAATTGTAGTTACTGCAGTCTTGTTCAAATAACACATGGCTAGTCTTCAGTTATAAAAACAAATTGGGCTATATATTTATTTATATTTATTTGAGAGAGTTATAGAAACAATTATCAATAGAATGATATAGCTTACTTTGATACTTAATGTTAAGACCTGTTCAAGTAATGACCAGATATTATCAAAAATGAAATTTGATCATTAAGTATCAACATTTCATTTTTGACATTTATTAGGCTATTCGAATTTTAGAAGCTGGTGGAGTTTCCTCAGTGACATGCTTCTTATTAGAAATTCATTTTTAGACATAAATTGAAATGCTTTGCAATGTATTTTGGAAGCTCTGTTTCTTTCCTTTGCAGCATAATGGTTCAAGGCCACGAAACCTTTTAATTCTCAGCCACAGTTCACAATTCTTTCTCTTACACAAAACTTATTCACATTTTCTGAACTCTCTGTTAAAACTTCTTAACAAGCTTTATTTATTTATTTATTTATTGAATAATAGTGTTTTTAATGATTTTCAATTCTTCATAAATTTTCTGTTCTTTGCTGCATATATTTTATTTTGCTTCATTTTTTTTTCATGTTGTTATGTCTGATTTGAAAAATTCTTTGTTTTATCATAAAACTGCGTAAATGCATTACATGGACTATGTGTAAATTCTGTTTTTGAAAAATATGGGTGTAATGTAAATTTTTTTTTAGGAATTTATGATGATGATCCAGAGATAATAACCTTAAGCAGAAATGACTTTGGTAAGAAACATATTCATATTTAGCGAAAATCAATTTACAATTCAGTTTTGAAATTCATTTAATAAAAATTTGTTATATAAGCTGTTTGAAATGGATTGTAATTTAATATTTGTAAAGTGCGCAAATCGAAATCTATTTTTGTTTCAAATTCTGGAATCTTAACTAGCAGTTTTTACCACCATTAATTGGATGCATGAAAATTTTCTTTATTATTCTTTCTTAAATATTGTGCTTCGTTTGCCTAAACATTTGGGAAAAAAATTATTTATGAGGAAAAGCAGGTGTAAAATCCTCTCTTAATCCTTCTGTTCAGCACTTACTTTGCTACATTTTTTATAAACATTTGTTGCCTGTTATCCATGCTAATTAAAGCATATAAAAAAGTTGCCTAGTAGAGTTGTAATTGATGCATAAGAGGGTCTTTTATAAGCTCCTTGCATTGTGTATGCATTGTCTTGAAAGCTAATTGCCTGTGTACGTGTGAATGTACACATACATACATACATATATATCTGACGTGAACGCTTCACCGTCACCCCACTAGAAAGAACGTAAATTAATTACTTCATATTTTAGCCTTTTTGTATATTATGTACCTTTAGCTTCGTACATTTCCTTGTACCTTATTTTATATATATTTCAATTTTTCAACTTGTATTTCATTAATTTTGCAAAGATTACATTGTTTATTATGTTTCTAATGATTATTATGATTACTATGAGTTCTATTTCATAAATGTAGCAAAGATTAACTTCTGTTTATTATATTTATAAAAATATCTTTGAATTAACATGTATGAAAGCGAGGGTGTCCGGGGGGGGCACTTTACTCAAGTATATGATAAAAAATGTTTACTGCTTAATTTGGCTATAATATCTTGAGATTTCTAAAAATCCATTAACTTAATGGAACTGCTGCATTCAAAATGAATTCTTTATAGTACTTCCCTTTAATTCATCTCACTAATAGAATTAACACTCGACTACAATTTTGGCCTTCACTAAAATTGCCAGTTTGGCATCATCATTCTTATTTGAGTAAAAGACTAAGCACCTTAGCATTTTTTAATTTATTAATTATTGTTAATTGAATGAGGGTTAGTTTGTTCCCCTTGAAAAGTCATCTAATTTCCAATCAATGACGATAATTACTTAGTTTATTAATTTTCATATTAAAAGTTTGCATTTTTATTTTTCATGATTTAAATTCAAATTCATTTAAAATATTTTTGGGATTAAATTTCATACTTCTAGGTTACTTCATTCTGATACATTCTACTAACTTTATATTAGGAGATAATATAATCAATATTACTTTAGTAAATGAAACGCATAATGGTGTTAGCTTAGTTTGACATTCAACTAATTTTCCCTTGAAAGGCCTGGTTGGAGGTCCTATTGGGCTAATTTACCATTTTCCGCTTTGTAATTTTTATAATTTTTATGATTTTTGCAATTTATGTTTTAATTATTATGTTTTAATTTTGTTTTAACTTGTTCCGTCGATCAGTTTTTTTATATGTGTTAACTTTTCACATATCACATCAATAGGTTTTGCTCTTTTTTTGTGCATTCACGTTTCCAACAATACATTTTAACAGTTTTATGTTCTGTATTTTATATCGCGTGTAGGCTATTTTTTCAACTTTCCATGTTAATATTTTTAAAAAATATACTTACATGTTAATATTTTTAAAAATACTACGTTGAACTATTTTTTGGAGCCACAGCTCCGGGTAACTTTCTTGGCGAGCTCACAACAATATTTCTTCCTATTATTTCATATTATATATATATATATATATATATTATATCTCTATATGGTGTGTATGTGTGTACGTGTGCATTTGTATGCATGGTCCATAGTCCAGCTGCTAGCAATCCTCTTTAATATTGGTTGCTTTAATTCTTTTAATATTATTTTATCTTGAAGGAAAATTTTTTCATTAAAGCATTTCTAAGGGAATCTTAAATGAACATAAAAATACTTTAATTAAAAAATATGAATGTAACTTTATAATCTTGAGAGGAAATCCGTCATAAAATAACCTTTTCCTGAGAGCTGGGACACGTATGTACCACATATTCAATACATTAAACAAGGTTAAAAAAAAATTCACTTTACTCTGGAGATTTAAAATTTACTACTTAATGCACAGAAGAAAATGACAGACCCTGTTGATTTATTTTTCTGTTCTTTGCTGATTGAATAGTTGACTAAATGGTTTCAATGCATAAAAAATTAGTCTGTGCAGTCCGCGTGAAAAGGCTAAATAAATTTTGAGAGTAATAAATATGCAGAAGGCTCATGATCTGAATCATGGACAGTAGGAATAGTGTGTTAGCTGCGAACTGACAATCCTTTGCTTTACCCGTCTCTGCACAGAAGCATTACGCCATCAGGCACCTGACAAAATTAGAACAAGTTGGGAAAAGCAATGTATGTGCAATGAAAATAAACTTGTGTAACAGTTTGAAATATTGGATAATTCAGAATTTCATCGAGTAATAAGTACAACATTAACCAGTGAAAAAGGTATGATACATTCAATTTGTGAAAATAGATGTAGCTACAAATTGTGCTGTGTAGCATTTTAGTAAGTATAATATCAAAATCAGCCTGTAAATTACAAAAATAAAAAAATAAAAAAAAAATTATGAATGTAACATTTGAAATTTTAACTTATTATTATCCTGTCAACTATTAGCCATAACTGTTACAAAACGCAGTAAATTTTGCCTTTTGAAACAAAATATGTATAATTGGAAAGGGTGCTTTAAAAATTCTTTCAAATAAATTCCAGAAAGTTATAAAAACTTAAAATATGTACTCTAATGGTGTCTAGTTATACTTTTCCTTGCATTTGAGGTAAATAGTCACTTAAGTTTCCTATAATTTGAAGTAGTAATATTCTTGAGAAGTAAAATTTTTAAATATGAAAAGTATATTTTAATAAATTAGAAATTATTTTAATAAATTCTTGAGCTCTGAAAAATTTCTTGCAGCATAAAGTGACATGAGACTGTTTACAAAATGCAATTTAGATCCATTTGAAATTCAAATGAATTATTAATTGTATTTGCAAGGATAGCTGTTATTTTACTTAAACTGCTTCTGAAACTCTCCTTAAAACTAACAATTGATTGCTATATTTGAAAATAGATTTAACTTTTAGGATAGTGAGAGTACCAAAAGAGCACAATTAACACCTGATGATGTCAGAACAGCATGTAGTTCATTAGATATCATTTAACTGTCATTAAAATGAACACAGCTTGGGTACTTAGTTAACTCATTAAAAACATTAAAATTGCTTATTTCATTCATGGGAGACTGTTTTCCCCCAAATAGATCATCATGGATTGAAACAACTAAAATGCATATCAGTTGCATTTTGAAATTTCTATGTTTGAAACAGAGCTGTTTTGGAAAAGAGGAAATTTTGCCATCTTGTTATATTTACTTTGAAATTTAAAATACCATAATTGATTAACTAATCAAAATATTAAAACAAAAAGAGTTTATATGGTCCAAGTTTTTTTTTTTTTTCTGTGCTTGGGGAATAAACATTTTTCAAGAAAAGTATGTATAATACCTCCCAATTTATTTCTTAAAATTTTGATTGTTAGTGAAGTTATAAATGAAATGCATATGAAAGGTTCTGAAATGTCAATATATATTTTTAACATGGCTTTAAATATTATAATTATATGACTGAAATTAGTACTATCAAATGGAACTGGTATTTTAAGTATTATAATTGTATGAATGGGAGTAACACTACTTTAAGTTTCTTCGTTTTACTGCCTTTAAATATGAGTGATATGAATTTCATCTGTAAGTTATCAATTTACTTCTGTATTAGTGCTTGCAGAGGTGCTCATGTAGGAATGTGATATAAGCTATGATAAACTAGGATTGGTGAATTTTTTGCTTGCAAAATTGCTCAAAAGCTTTTTTGGAAATGTCATTTTTAAAAGTTGTCAGCATGGATATAAGAAATGATGGCATCATTAATTCCTATAAAATTATAACAGCTATTAAATTTTATAATTATCTCTCTGATTATTCATGCTCTGCCAAATTTAGTTATTTTTTATCTTTCATATGATTCCACACTTTGATTGGAAACTGTGGTCTTCTAAAATTTTGTTTGGTTCTAAAATTAAATAACTACATTCAGACATCAATTTCTATAGATACACATCAAAAGTATGCAAAAATGGAAAAATTAACTATTGGCAGTTAAAGGAATAAAAATATAAAGTATTATATTCTGTGTGAGCATATTTCTAAGTGAGTGTTTTCCCATGTGAGCTTTTTATGTGGGCTTTTTTTCTGTGAGCATTTATACCTGTGAGCTTTTTTGCTGTGGGTCTTTTCCCTAGAATTGTTATAACCTCCTCTTGGGGAGGGGAATGCTGAATTTTGTGCCTTTTTATGTTAACCGCTTGCCTGATTATCTCGGGTTCTTATATATTACAGTTAATTATTATCCCGAGAAAACTCGGGTGAAGCAGAGTTTGTCAGTATGATTTGTTTTATGACGGTTTTACTCGGCCTAGAGGAAATGAAAGGAAATATTCTGCTTTGATTGGCAGTTTGCCAAGTTTTATTGGTTCCACGGTTCTTTTGGCGGTACTGGTCACGTGTTTTTCCTGTTGTATAGTATAGGTTGGATTAGTAATATATAAAGATGGATTAGTAATATATAAAGAAGGATAGTTGCATTGAGAAAAAAGTAAAATAATGGTGATGATACAAGATAGCGAAAGCGATGATTTTTCAGATAGTGATTATGAAGAGATGGACATTTTCCAGATGTTATTCCTGTTACTGGGAGGAAAAAAAAAAAAAAAAAAAAAAAAAATCAATTCCAACGAGACAGTACTTTCTGCTCCCATAAAAGAGATGGCTAATTTTTGGAATATAGTAACAGGTAGTTTGGTGATAAAGGTTACTAGCTAGGACTTTAGCAATGTACATGGATAAAGTCAAGAGTGTGCGCAATGCCATTTTTGTGCATAAATTCCTTATGTCTGTTGAATAAACTTTTCAGCAAACGGAATTGTTTCTGATTTGAAATACTTTACAACTGATATGATTTCTGCCCTCTTAAAGTTGCATTGGTGTACACTATTTTTTTAATGAAATTCTAATGATGTAATTTTTACAGTGCAATCTGTTCTTGAGTCTTCAGACTTCTGGTTTGTGAATTTCTACTCTCCTCAGTGTTCCCATTGTCATCACTTGGCACCTGCTGTAAGTAATACATGATGTATTTTTAGCATGCCTTTGATAGCTTCTAAATTTAAAAAAAGTATTATGTTTCAGTTGAACTTTGTAAAAAATACTGTTTGCATAACTTACTAAGCAATTTAACATTGATTTATTATTTTAATTCATAAGTAATTTTCTTAATGTCATGTAATATTTTGCATCTTATATAAAATTTAATTGTGTATTTTATATGTTTGCACACTGATACGTCACATTTTATTTTGTATTTTATCTGCTTGAAACTACGTAAATAGTTTTAAAGGGTTTTTATTCGTCCAATGTATATTATTTGTGTTTAGTAGTATATTAACTGGAAAATTCAAGCCTGTTTCCATCATAATATTATTAACACTAAGGTTTTAGTTTTCTTCTGTATATGACAGCAATCTAAAGTTAAGTTTCATAAGTTAAAACAACAATAGTGTAATTATTGTTTGAACTTGATGAGAAAAATTAGGTTTTTCCTCTCTTATGATTTCCCCATCTATTGTATTTTGGTTTTTAATATCCCCATAGTGTTTTTAGTTAACATGTATCAGTTGTTTTAGACGTTAATTTTTTTTGTAATAATTAGCTCAATACAAATTTCCTTGATTACAGAGAGGAAATGAAGCAGGCTATTAGTTATATACTCTGCCCTGCTATAAGGCACTCAGAGGCGACAGATATTACAAAACTCCTACGCAGAGACCTGCCTCTAATCTCAGGGAAGACTAAAAGCAAAAACATTTTACAGCAGCTATACTTTGTTATTTTAAAGTAGGCAATTATGGTCCTTTTTCCCTTCTGGCTTGCCTCATAACCATGTTAATGACTGCAGCAGAAGATGGTTTAATCCTGTAATTTGCTAAAACCCCACCAATTCCTTTCGTGTGTTAATAATTACATAAATTACAACAGTAGATGACAGGAGGGTTGATATAACTTTAAAAGGCCTATTTTAAAAAAGCAGAGTATGACTGCTAGCTACTAGTACACCATCAGGCTTTGTTTACAGCAGCATATTTGATAAGCGAAGGATGGATATGAAAAGCTAGATTAAATTTCAAAGTAGATCATGCTCAAGTATTAATGCAATGAATGACCTTAGTGCAATTTGGTGATTTTTTACAGATGAAAAGGTAAGTTACTAATTGGGTGCAACTTGGTGGTTTTCGAACCTTTTTTTTAAACAACCTTTCCAAACTATTGATAGTTATCCTAAGTTGGTAAATGTTATCAACATATAAAAAGAAAGCATATTTTAGCAATTTAAAATACTAATTTGAATTATTAAATAAGGATTACCTGATACATTTAAAAAATAAAACACATTCTTTAAATCTTTCTGTAATTTTTTTTTGTACTGTTCTCCCAAAATACGCTGCAATTTGTTTTTACTTAAAAACGTCAGAGAATTGTGGAGATTTGACTTTGTACAATCCTTGGCAACAGTGTCTATCAAGGAAATGCATTTCTTCATTGTTTCCTCTAGAAAATTTTCAGAAAAATTCTGCACTCTTGCAGTTGTCTCAGTTTCTTATGTTGCTCACAAATTCCACCACTCATATTTTTAAACTAAGCTTAAGGCAAAAAATATCATGATTTGTTTACAAAACTACTGGAACTTGGAATATAACAAAAAATAATGCATATGAAAGTGGCAGTGTTGTTGACAGAAAGATTGTTATTAGTTATAGGCATGGTTGCTGGAAGAATGTTTATGTGCATGGTTATCAGAGTTTGGCACATTCTGAAAATTTGGCCAGTTCTACTAAGATGGTTGCGTTAATACATTAGTACCACACACTGTTCATTTTGATCCAGTAATTTTGGCCATGTTCAGATAGTGGGCAGAATTTGGTCATCAGTGTCTTCATGCAAACTCAAATCCTAAAATTTATAAAAAAACAAACATAAATACATTTTAACTAAATTTATGCTATTATAGTGTACTTGTTTCCAAAGTTTGAGAATTACTTTAAACATGTTTTTAGTCCTCCACTTGTTTTTGAGAAGGTTTATAAAAGTTTATAAATTATTTTCTCTTTTGTATTTTTTTAATTCAAGCATTAAATATATGCTGCGTATCACATGATCACATCCATTTATGATTTTGTCTCAAGATATTAATGTTTTCACTCGCATCAATATTCCCATGTTTTTCCTTTATCCCCCGAATAATCCTCTTTGTTTCGTTGTGTGTATGTTCAAACTCATGTATCCATTATTTTCAAAGGCAAAATTTAATCTGCCAGTCGCAGAATCAGTGTTTTACATTACTCCTGTGTAACTGTTGTCGTCAAAAATACTTCAAAAGTGGCTTGATATAATTCTGTTGCACTTTAGTCTTAGTACTGTTTAGTTACTCATTTTAGTACTGTTTAGTTACTCATTTAGAAGTGATAATTTGCTTCTATTATGCAGAAAAAATGCATAGTAATGTGATATGGAACACATTTTCTCAACTGAGAACTTTGCAGTTGACATTCACTGTTTCACAAATGCATAGTGCTGAGTATATTAAAGCACTGTAGAATCATCTTATTTCATTTCTGAAATACTTTTGATAAATTTCATTTTGTGTCAGTTAGATAAGGCTCAAGATTTAGTTCAGTTGGGCAGATAAGACTCTTGTTTGCTGGATTGTTACGTAATGAATGGTTTAGAGCAGTACTAGTGTATCATGTACATATCAGTAACAAGCAGTACAAATCTGTTAAGAAATTCAAAACTAAATTTTGGCTGTGTGGGAGAATATTGAGTTAAGAGACTGGGATATTCAATGAACAGCTCATACGTAATCTTATTGTGAAAAAAGGTGACTGGTTATTTAATAATTAGGGAAATTATTTTTCACAGGGAGGCAGGCTAACAGTTTTATATTTTGCCCTTCCATAATGCACACAGAAGTGATAAATGTTACAAAACTAAATTTCTATCCAGAGACCTGCCTCTAATCTCATATACTCAAGGAAGATTAAAGACAAAAACGATCCACTTAATTTCAAACTGATTAACTTCTCTTTTTTTAAAGCATTGGATGACTTAAGTTTGAACCTGAAAATGGGCATAGAGAGGACTTTTGGGGATGCTATTAACATGGAAGTATTTAGTTAATTAAAAATTTGGTAATAAATTGAAGTACCTATAAATCAATGAAAAAGATAATCTTTGATATACAATCAAAGAATGATGAAAGGTAATCTCCTGACCTCCTTTAGTTTGATATACAGTTTATAACTGAACATTTTTTTATTGAATACTCATATTTATGACTCTTAACTGAGATAGCAATAATTTCCCTCAACATTGCAGTTGTTATTAGAAAGGTAGCTGAAAATAGCATATTTCTGTTTTTCCCTACAGAAGAGTACCTTTTAAAGTTATCATTTATTTTTTGACATTTGTCATTAAACATTTCTTCAAAGAAATCTGAAATGTTGATGTTTTGCATTTCAGAATTAGAATTTTTCTGTGTAGTGTAGCAGTGTGTCTCAAAGGTGCTTGCTGTGTGTACTGAAACTTTTTTTTTTTTGCGGTTGCATCCAAAACTTTAAACTCAGTACTGTAGAGTGAGGAGAAAATTTTTGTAGGTTCTTTAAAATTTTGAAGTGATCTTTTTCTCATTCTGTAATTACACATGTTTACCTATAATTACAAATTAATTTAATTATTAATAGTTAAAATAATTATTAGTAGTTAATTACATATTTATTTATTGTTTTATTATTTTTTCTAGATTTCTTACTTCTCCTCTCTTTTCCCAAGGCAATTATGCATACATATACACTGAAGAGTCAAAATATTATGACCACACACTAAATAACTCGTTGCGTTACCTTTGGCTTGCAGAACAGCTATAAATCTCTGTAGCATGGATGCCACAAGTTCTTGGTAGATGACTGGAGACAGGTTGCACCAATTATCTAAGCAGCGGTCACACAGTGTCGAGATATTCTGACATGGTGGTGTTTTATTCTGAGCTTCTGCTCCGTGACATCTCATATGTCTACTATTGTGTTAACTCCCCTCAGCATTACCGATGGATTGTTCCGTATTGAAAGATGGCTTTCTAAATCATTACAAACAGAATATTCTGTCAGCTCTTGATAGATCTGAAATCATTTTAAACAATTTTTCTGCCTTAAATTTTCCTCCTTGAAATCATTGAGGGCAGAATATTCTATACTGTCATTCTCCTGACCTCCTGTAGTGCTTGAGCCTTTGGCCTATAACCATGACTCTGACTTGTGGTAAAGAATTTGTGCCATAAACAAAAGCCATGAGTCTGACTTGTGGTAAAGAATTTGTGTCATAAAGAAAAGCCAATAGTGTGACTTGTGGTAAGGAATTTGTGTCATAAACAAAAGCCACGAGTCTGACTCGTGTTGAGGAATTAGTGCATAAAATGCTGCGTATTATTATTAGAACCAAATGATTGGAGTTATTCTACATCAAATATTTTTCCTTTGATTGTAACGTCAGTATTTTGTATTTTTCAGTTGTTTTTTGATGAAACTGGATGATGTGTTACTTTAGTTCCTCATAAAGCTTCGTTGCGTCCACACGTTTCAGATATAATTTAGTATAAAGAATTAAAAAACTTATATCTATCACGTCAAACTCTTATACCCATCATGCAATTATTTTTGTCATTTGATTATGATTACACCCTACATGTCTTAAAATTACTATTTGTACCTAAACATTGTTTATTATTTCACAGTTCCTTTCATTACAATGAAATATGTATGTCATGAAAAGTATGCATTTTGCGCCAGTTCGGGTACACGGCTGAACAGTTGAATGGCAAGGTGCGCAAATGATTTTCTTGTTTACTATATCTCGTGCAGTTAGCAGTTATGTGAGCCAAGGGGTTAATTGGTAATGGGGAAACAGCAATCGTTAGAGAAAGATGTTAAAATGCGAGGATCCTCATAACCTCGCATAAAATCTCAAATCCAGGCGTACCATTTGCTGACGACCTGAGGGTGATTTTT